GCTGCGATTCCCTGATCGTGGGTGCCACGCTGCGGTCCCCGTGGCCGCCGACGGATGGTCACTGGACATTTGATCGTGGGTGCCACGCTGCGGTCCCCGTGGCCGCCGACGGACGGTCACTGGACACTTGATGACGCGCCTTGGTGAGCCGCCAGCGCGCCGTCGCAGACCTGTCCCGGCCCAGCGTCATACGGACGACAGCTGCTTCGTCACTGCAGATGAAACATTCACGACCTGGGGCAGAGAGCGCATTTTAAGGACCGCCGAACGCGACGTGGGAAACTCACGGGTGTAATTTGAACGCATGTGTGCCTTTCCGTTTATTTGGGAGGGCGGTGTTAGCGCTGTCGCCTCGGCTCTCTGGTTCCGTCCGGCTCACTGGATAAACGGATCGCCTTCGCATGTGAAGGTGATCACATATCACATGCATGTAACAGGCTGGAGGTAGTTTTCTTCGAATGTATTCAAGTATATCCAATGACGAATGAAATACTAGCTGAGCAAATGTCGCGCTTTTTGCTTGGTCGCTGCCACCGGTTGTAGGCCTCACCAGTCGGCGGCGGGGGGGGGGGCGGGGTGGGGGGGGGGGGGGAATAGCGTGCGCCCAGCGCAACTTAAGCCCACCGGCCACAGGCGGGTGAATCGGAAGGCAGGTGCTCAATCCAACCATGCTATCCGGAAAAAAATTCATGAATGTCAAGTATAAGTGCCAAAAATTTGCTTCTTCTCTTGTGGACATGTCCCCTCACCTCCCATGTCTCTCGTGGTGGACCCCTTCGTCCCGCCCTTGCGAAACCCCTCCTTTATTTAGGAAGTCTGAATTGGAATGCCTCTTGGCTCGTCGGTAGTTCAAGAATCGATCTTGTCTGCGCACGGTCATTAGATCAACAGGGGTAATTTGGAGCGTATTAGCAAGATAAGATTTTTGGACATGCCAGAAAATGGAGCCAATCACCGAGCAATATGAGATATGATGTTGAAAACCGGCCTTCAGTGTCCCGCGATTGTCTGCTTCAGCGACGTTATCAAGAGATATATTATGAAAATGTCCGACGTTCCACGGCGGTGCTCCCGATCCCGATACTTTGGAAGGCGTCGAGGCATAGGTTTCGAGGTATGATGGGGGTTAAGGCCCAGCTTGCTTATATTAAGTATGCTCATAGAGCAGGGACAGCGCACCAGGTGGTTAAGGGCATGTTCTTGCCCTCCCAATATTTTGGGAGGTTCTTTTCCCCAAACTTTACGCCTTACAGCTAAGCGTAGAATGCTACAATGCAGATCAAAGAGGCCTCCCATAACTGAGTTAGAGGGTGCTGCATTAGGCTGAGAAGGCCTGTTTTTGCATCAAGAGGTCAGTGGTATACATTATGTCAGCTCTCTATAAGTGTTAAGAAGGCCTTCTTGCCGACTCGGGAAGACCCCTTTATCAACCAGGGAGACCTAGTTATGGACCCGGAGGCCCTCTCCAAATATCAAAACGCCACCTTTCTGAAACAGGACGCCCTTTCCATGCATTAGATAGCCACAGTTCCTGATCATGGAAACATATTTTTGGAATATCGGGGGCCTGTGATACTTTTGGAGCACCCCTTTGAGCATCCTAACATTCTGTTGTGGGCGTGCAAACCCCTAAATGCATCAGGAGATGTTCTCTGGAAAACTTTGTCATGCTTTAAGGACAAAGGTCATTTTCTGGATGGAAAAACCCATGCATTATTGAGGAGGTTCCTGCTTGTTATTTTCAACTTGTCGGCATATATTTACAGACAGACGTGTGTTTGGACTGACCACGGTGAACTGGCTATACAAGTCAATCGTCATAGGACTTAAAACACACACACACACACACACACACACACACACACACACACACACACACACACACACACACACACACACACACACACACACACACACACACACACACACACACACACACACACACACACACACACACACACACACACACACACACACACACACACACACACACACACACATACGCACGTACGCACGCACGCATGCAGGCTACTTTAAAGCTTTAAGGCCTATGATGATGAACTTCAAACATACTTTAACTGCTTTAACTTAACCGGCACGCGTCAAAGTGCGGCATATGTCGTAAGCATTGCGTTGTTGGTGCGGGCCATCGTTGTGCATAGGTTGTTTTTTTACGTTTCGTTTATGTGGTTTTGCAATTTTACCAGCTTTTCAACTGTCTGGGATTTTTTGGCCTTTAATGCAAGATTTGTGTCCGTTAATTCAATGTAAATACGAACTGGATTCCACAGCTCCAGCTACTGCCCAATGCAGCGCAATCAAGTCACCACTTGCACAAAATGTATGTCATCCGACCAAACTACGAACTGCGAACCTACCAAACTTGATGGCTGCCGTACGTTCGCCTTGTAGTTTCACGTGGCGTAAACTCGTAGGCTCGTGAGATCGTAAATCTACATCATCAAACTATGCCATGCTTCTAGCCGATGCCAATTACATTGCCATACTGTGAGGTTTGTATGCTCTGAATACCCTGAAATCACATCACATACCGTGAAGTCTGTATGCTCTGAATACCGTGAAATCACCTTACATACCATGAGGTCTGTGTGCTCTGAATACCGTGAAATCATGTTACGTACCGTGAGATTTGCATGCTCTGAATGCCGTCAAATCGCATTACATACCGTGAGCTATGTATGCTCTGAGTACCGTAAAATCACATTACATACCGTGAAAATTGTATGCTTTGAATACCGTGGGATCACATTACATGCCGTGAGATTCACATGCCCTGAATACCGTGAAATCACACAATATTCTGTGAGATCTGTATGCTCTGAATACCGTGAAATCACATTACACACCGATAGGTTTGTACTGGAAGTCACTGGAAGTCACAAGTCTAACAAAACTTGTTAAGAGCCATTGCACAGGAGGAAGACAACAGGACAACAGGGCAGCCAGGTTGTGGAAAAATCCGCGCTTGGCCTTCGTTGCGCTCCCAGAAGTGTACATAGTCCTCATACTTTCAGCCATGGTTGCATCAGGACTTAAAGATCTCACCGTTTCATCCTGACTGGCCAACCGTATGATGAGACTTGGACTGAGACTCTCCTCTTACGATGCGGCATTGCGCATGATTTTGCAAGTGGCATTAAAGGGACTTTAGACCAACTTCAAAGGTCATGTTTTGGCTCGATCTACATCGGGGAGAGCGAGAGAGTAGAGAGAGAGAGAGAGAGAGAGAGGAGAGAGAGAGAGAGAGAGAGAGAGAGAGAGAGAGAGAAGAGAGAGAGAGAGAGAGAGAGAGAGAGAGAGAGAGAGAGAGAGAGAGAGAGAGAGAGAGAGAGAGAGAGAGAGAGAGAGAGAGAGGGAGAGAGAGAGAGAGAGAGAGAGGAGAGAGAGAGAGAGAGAGAGGAGGAGAGAGAGAGAGAGAGAGAGAGAGAGAGAGAGAGAGAGAGAGAGAGAGAGAGAGAGAGAGAGAGAGAGAGAGAGAGAGAGAGAGAGAGAGAGAGAGAGAGAGAGAGGAGAGAGAGGAGAGAGAGAGAGAGAGAGAGAGAGAAGAGAGAGAGAGAGAGAGAGAGAGAGAGAGAGAGAGAGAGAGAGAGAGAGGAGGAGAGAGGAGAGAGAGAGAGAGAGAGAGAGAGAGAGAGGAGAGAGAGAGAGAGAGAGAGAGAGAGAGAGAGAGAGAGAGAGAGAGAGAGAGAGAGAGAGAAGAGAGAGAGAGAGAGAGAGAGAGAGAGAGAGACAGACAGACAGACAGAGAGACAGGGAGAGGGAGAGAGATGGCGCACCAATTCACGACATATTCCCTTGTTCATATGGTGGCATTATTTCGGGTAGGGGCTCTGCGTTTTCTGGGATGATTATGCAAACTCTACGGCGTCATGAATTGAGATTTCTCATTCTGGCAATAATCGACCTTCAGTATACCAGGGGGCACTGGTTAAGCGACATTGTCAAGGAGGCACGGGCTATATTGACAAAACTTGGCGTTTCAAGCTTCGCTCATGGTTACGAGAGCTCATGTGCTCAGAATGATCAGAACAAAAAGTCCCAACACCCAATGTGAAAACACATAGGCTTAGAGAAGAACTTTATTGCTTATATCAAGCTTACAACTAAGTGATGCGAAGAAAAAGCTCAAGGCTGCTAGAATAGGTGTTGTTCAGAATTTAAGTGGCAGAATAAATCTTAGCCTCGCTTCGAAAACATAAAATTTTAAAAGTCATTGTTGCCCCAGCCTTTTGATCCCTCGGCTGGAGATGGTCTCAAAAGGCCAAATAAACCATTTCCAATATAGCATAGGCCTAAGAACCGGAATGGGTGGGAATTCATCACTCACCTTTTTTGCAAACTCAACCTTGGCTTTTTGATGGCGCGTGCAAAAGTTAACCGAAGAAATGGCTTGGTGCATCTGCTCTTCAAAATGTTCCTACGCCTTTAAATCTGAGCCAACATTGGCAGATCGTTAGTGGCATCATTCCGTGCTCAGGACAAGTGCCAAACGGCTGACAGGGCATTCGTTGACGATTTTGATGGGCTCGCCGATATGCACTGTAACGTGTTTCCTCAATTCAGTTTCGCCCACGGCGACCCCTGCATAGACGATGCTGGCTGCACGACTTCACGTACTTCTAGTACAGATTCTCCCGCTAGATGCCAGGACGAGCCCAAGTGACGCCCGCGTCGTCGTCGGCGCGACAGACGCCGCGACCCAAACTCGAGCGGTGACCCTATAGCGTGAACACGGACGTCCACCACCTTCCTCGCGTGCCCATCGCTGACCCCAGCGCTCGCGACGTGACCCGCGGGTCACCGCTAGTGTTGACCCGGTGGCCCGGGGGCGCGGGCGGCGCGCGCGGCGGCGCCGCGGGCGGCGCGGGGCGCGGCGGTGTCATGGCGGCCGCCGGGCATTGATCGACGACAGACTCCGACTAAGATGGCCCTGTGCTCCTGCGGCGGCCGGGCCGGGCCGGGCGAGCGCGCTGCTCGGCTGGCGGCGGTGCTGTGACCCTCCGAGTGACCGCCGGTGACGCGGAGAAGTGACTCACGCTCCCCGCGGCGGTCCTCTGGTCGGCGAACACGGCTGACTTTGTCGCGGCCAGCGCCTGACTGCTGAAAGGTGAGCGTTCAGCGCCAACAGTGGGAGAAGCCTTTTCGTGCAACGCTATGGCATTCTATAGCCTGAGCCCGGATTTGCCAGTTTCATGTTATATTGGTCCGATGTCTCTGTCTAGGCGGCTAATCGGCCGCGAGCGCTCGGTTTGTGCATTTGATGGCTGTTGGGTCCAGGTTCTTTGATCGGGGAAGACAGCATGTGGTACATTTGGATGTTGCTAAGCGACTGAAGCCATCCATAGCTGGTGCGACCCGTGTTGCTACAGGCCGCGTCATTGCAGACTCCCTTTCAGCTTGTTCAGGTGCGAGCCAATGTGCGGTTGGAAAAGTAGAAACAGCGGCACGTTATGTATTGAGCTTCTCCATGTCGCATGTCTTTCCGTGTTCTCCTCGGTCTTAGAGGCCACGGAACAACAACCGTGAAGTCCTCATTAGCAGGCAGCGGACGCCAATTCGTTACCCGCTGCTGGTGACTGCAGTTCCCAGTGTCGAAAAGGACGACATTTGGCCGAATTGTGGCCCGAAGCTCTTTTATCGCCCTGTGGGAGAGGGAGGGGGGCGTCCGGTCCAGGCAGAGCCCCTCTAACGAAAGCGGCCACCGACCCGGCCGCGGCTTCGCCCCTTAGTGAAAGGGTCACCGTCGACCCGGTGGCTTTGACCGGAAATCCTGCTGACCTGGATCGAGCGAGCTGGAGACGGCCTGCCAACAGCCACAGGGTGTCTCGGCTGGCCAAGTGTCATATTGCCACTTTGCCGGTCCGAGGACTGGGAATTAACTGTTAGCTACCCTGCCTCATTTGTAGTTGCCGGTTCTGGGAAAGGCACATGGTCATTATTCGCAGCATCTGCTGGGGTCTTTAGCAAGCACATCCGTCAAGGTTTGCAAGTCTGCATACAGATGTCCCCGATCATCATTGAGATGACATGACGTCATAAGTTTGCTTTTCTTATACGACTCCACTTCAAGCGCTTGCCGGTTGTTGTTCCCGTGCAATAACTTTGCTAAACATACTGAACTCCTAGCAGATCCCGTCCGAGGCCTAATTCTGTACTTCTCGCGGAAAGCGTACTCACTGGCGTTTCTCGTCAAGAGGAACACAACCACATATGATGAAAAGATGGCATGCTTTAAACGCGCCCTGAGCATCAGATTTTAGATTACAAGAAGCCGAAAATAAGCAATGAAGTAAAATTAAGATAGCAGCGGCGTAGCTTTTCTTTTAATTTTCATTTGCACCTTCTTTGACTCGGGCAGAAGCCAGATGCTCCCGGAGGATGCCACAAGCTACCGGCCACCGGATAAATTATGTTTTATGTTAGATTTCAAAGGTGATAAACTGAGAAAGCAGGCGCTATAAGCATCTACATTGTATAAACCACCTGTTTTGTGCAGTCCCAACAGCTCAGTAGACTCTTCCTCAGACATTAGAACTTACAGACTTTGCCAGGTTTTATATTTCGCTGGGTTCTACCGAGATATGGAGGAGTCGTGACCGTTGGTTGTAGATCGAGTTGGGGTTAAATATTTGTATCAACATGGCCAATGTTTGTCCGTCTTGAAGCACTCAACCTCCAGTCACAATCGATTGGCGAGAAAAATTATAGTACATAGTTTTCACCAAGCGCGCTCACAAGTCTTGAAACAAAAACCTCGACGCACGGCATTGCAGTCTCCGCGGGGTAAGCGACGTCGGCCACGCGGCTAACACAGAGCGGCGGCGAACGGGCGGACGAAAATGATGACGCATCCGAAAAAGTGCATTTGAACGCTCTTTGACACCATCCGCATGATTAGAAGGAAGTTCGTTATAGCACCGCGATGTGGTGCTGTAATCTGGTGATGGAACTGCTAGACTAAAGACAGAATGTCTATTTTTCGTGCTGCTACAACTGTCAATCCGTCAGAGGACAATCTTTGAATTATGAAAAGACACGCTGCAGTCTATTTTGAGGGGTACGAAATTGTTTTAAAAGGCATGCGGAATCATTATTTCACGACGGTCCTTCTCGCGCCCTGCGCCCACCGCCTGTTGTTTCCTGCAGCGGCTATGTGGGCCATTTCGCCGCAGCGCGCGGTGCCTACCGGCTGTCATTCTGGCGACACGGGGGTGGGCCTCCGGCTGATCCATAAGTGCTTAAAGGGATACATCATGCATTGGTCCCCTGTCTGACGCAGGAGGCCACTTGACACTCGCAGTTGACCCCGGATCGACGCAGGAGCCGTCATTGACGCAACGAGATCCCTTATCGCTGCAGGTGGTTCAATAACTGGCACATAAACTCCGTCCAGTTCGGCGTAACGGGCCCCTGGTTGGAATGGGGTGGACGGCACACTGTTCACTACTGGGGGCCCTGATTGACAGAGGGCCCTTCTGCTGTCGCAATGTGCACTCTCGTTAAGTTCTCATACCTCCCTTCATTGTCAGAGGGTCCGACCGACGTAAGAGAGCCTCTGGAGTTCAGGGTCCCGTTCCCCATCGACTCAGGGGCTCTGACAAACATAAATCGCGGGTTCGGCATTGTCACTGCTTGGGACATGGACCTCCAGGCCCAGATCGACACGGAACGGACTAAGGGTACCTGACCGACATAGAAACCTCCATCGACCCATGGGACCCTACTGGCGCAAAGTACTCTTCGACTGGCATTTAAGGGCCGGGCTCTGTGGGATGGGTTCCCATAATACATCCGGCCAGCTCTTCGGGCCCTGGGGCCCTCAAATTTGACCCTTAATCGTCGTTCCCTTAATCAGGCCCTTAATCCTTGGTTTCTTGGAACCTAAGGGCACCACGTGCCTCCTGCGCCCCCCCCCCCCCCCTCCCCCCACCCGTACCTGCTCCACTGGAAATGAGCCAACAGTTCTGGCAAAGACGTAAGCAAGAACTTTTCGCATTGCAAACATTTTGTTTTTTTACCGCTACTAACATCAACATACAAACAACTAAAAACACATTGACTGACCCTAGTACGATGTCACAATCCATGAAAATGCCGGAATGTCGCGGAAAGGTACAAGTGGTAAATCAAATATTGCCTTTAAGTTGTGACGTGTCCTTTTGAGCAATGCTTCTACGTGAGTAAAGTAAAGAGAATATCCCCTGGCGGAGAAAAGTAAAAAATTACAAGTTACACCAACACCTTATTCCTGTTTAGGACTACATGGTAGCAATGTGCTGGTGTTTCTACCCAAAGTAACTCTGTCCATTAATTATTCCTTGTAAAGTGATGTGCTTGACCGAAAACAGATCGCAAATCGAGCCAACATTCAAACTGTTGGTTAACTGAGCCAGGTTTGGACCCTTGTATCCGTAACAAAAGTAAGGAGAGCTCGCAGTCGATGTTAGGGCCATATGCTACCATTCTTATTGGCCATGGCATTGCAGATTTTTTATTGTTCACGGCTTGGATGCCTATTCAATGGTTTTTGATCGAGGGCTTATCTACACCGCTGTAGCAGCTGATCGCGCTTTTCCTTTCCTTTGGCGCAAATCATCATCGTCGCTTTTTTTTTGCTTGAGCGTAAATTTTGATTTAAACTTGGTACCTCTAGATTTCTATCCAACTAGCAAATGCTTCATAAAATCTTCCCCCTTTGAGCGTGCATGAAACCAATATCAGAACAATCAACAAATACGGGCGTGGTGTGAGAAAACATGCGTTATGGAGCGCTGAAAGAGGAAAGTTGATAGCCACACGAACTACAGATGTGTACATAAACAACAAACGTGACGTTTTCATGAGACCTTTGGGTAAACGAACGTGCTTTAGATATTCACAACAGCACTTGCGACACCTACGGAACGGACGCGTGCAAGTCATCGGATCCGACCAGACATATTGCAATAATAGGTGTATTACAGACGCTATGAGAGGGCTGCAAGAACGATGGAAATTATAAAAACAACCAGAGAAAGACATCAGTATCCAGTGCCGGCCTCCCCGCCTCTCGAGCCATGGGCTGGGAGTCGAATGGCTTACGGTCGGGTTCTGCTGATGGATAATCTGACTCTGGATAATTTTCTGGTAGGGATAAGCCCATGCTCCGGACGAAACTGAGGCAACGCCCATCGGCGGAGGCAAAGACACAGCGACCTGCCGTCGATCACACTCGCTTTGCAATTATTCGTGTAAAAAGCATGGGAGCTGTGCACGTGCCAGTGCCACATCAAAGCGAATATTTTGCACCATGGCTGAAAAGAATGGAGCACGCATGTCGAACCAGTTTGTCGGGCATCTTTATTCGAACTGGCTGTGAGTGGTTTTCATGGTAGTCTTAATTCACGCACCAACCTCGCATATGGACCACCATTCTATGTACATGAATGGGGACTGCACTAGCCTGAGAGGTATGAGCTGCACCTGTCCATGGCTTAATCTGGCCTGGCCTGGTCTGAGCTGGCCTGGCCTGGCCTGGCCTGGCCTGGTCTGGTCCGGTATGGTCAAGTCTGATCTGGACTGGTTCGACCTGGTCTGGTCTAGTCTGGTTTGACTTGGTCTGGTATAGTCTAGTCTGATCTGGTCTTGTTTGACCTGGTCTGGTCTAGTCTGGTTTGGTCTAGTCTGGTCTGGTCTGGCTCAGACCCGTCCATGGGTCTGGGTTGGCGGGTCAATGTCTGATAACTCCTTAGCGAACACTGGCAACAAGCCCAGACCATGGCTACCTTCAGCAGAACAGGAGACAGAGAAACACAGGGGCTCTTTATCTGACCTTTGGAAGTGATCCGTCTGAAAACAGCGCTCTCGACAATCATTTCACTCCTCACACACCCCTACGGCACACGGGGATCAATGCAAGGAGGTGCACACCCTGAGCGTGCCTGGGTACGCCCCCGCCACCACAACGCTTCAGCCACTGCAATAGCAAATTAAGCTCTCCTTTATCATTGTTCACTCGCGATTTAATCAGCTTCGGTATCGTCACAACTGTCAGAATGCAAAATGGCCTGTCCCAGCCGCAGCCGGTGGGCGCAACCATCAATTTGGTAGGCATGACGCAGTAGCGT